AGAATGATTTTGAAATAGCATATCCACACTGACTGGAGCCTGACTCGCATTTAAAGTCCCAAGAAGTGCTCCAGGAGAGTGGACATTTCCAGTGGCTGCTTGCTGAGGCTAGCTGAGACATGTGTTTACAGGGGTTCCTCTCTACAGCTGCGTCTCACATGCGACTTCTTTGCTTACCCCTTCGTGGGACTCCAACTCACGCCCCATGCTCTGCCTTTGCAGACACCACAGCACTTACAACATGAAGCTAGAGCTGCTGCAAAGCAGTGCCAGGCTCATGGGCCTTGTACTGCACCTCATGGAGCACTTTGTCCATGCTGCCCATGTGTTGCTTCAGGACGATGACTACCAGCCTGGACTGGGGGACCTCTTCACCCAGGCCTAGGTGCTACTGAAACAGCAAACGATCCTCAATCCCCTGCACTCTGTGGAATGCTGCTTCTGACGGAGGAAGACCAGTTTGGACAGGTGGGACCACATTGTCCTGCAGCGACAGGACAACCAGCACTGGCTCCTGAACTTCTGCATGCAGAAGGCCACCTTCCTGGAGCTCTGTGAGTGGCTCGCCCTGCCCTCAGACTCAACATCCCCCTGAAGAAGTGGGTCACAATTGCCCAATGGAAGCTTGCCATGCTAGACAGCTACCGCTCCGTGGGGAACCAGTTCGGCATCAGGAAATCCACGGTCGGGGCTGTGTAATGCAGGTTGTCAAGGCCATCAACACCACCTTGCTGCAGAAGGTCATCACCCTGTGAAACATGAACCCCACTGTGCATGACTTTGCTGCCATGGGCTTCCTGATCTGCCGTGGGTGGGACAGGGGGCCGACAGGCCATAGATAGCATACACATCCCCATTCTGGCCCCAACCACCATGCCTCAGACTACATAAACAAGAAGGGGAACTTCTCAATGGTGCTGTAGGCCCTAGTGGACCACAAGGGCCGCTTCATGGACATTAATGTCAGCTGGTTGGGAGAAGCACACGACTCCCACATACTCCTTCAAGCTTGTTCCAGAGAAAGCACGCTGGCACTTTTTTCAGCGACCACACCATGAGGATCGGGAACATGCCCATGTGCATCCTAGGCAACACAGCCTACTCCTTACTACTCCGGCTGATGAAGCCCTACATGGGCAGCCTGGACCCCACCAAGGAGCACGTCAATGCCAGGCTCAGCAGGTGGTGGAGTGTGACTTCGGCTGCCTAAAGTTGAGGTTCAGGAGTCTCCTCACCCATCTGGACCTCAGCGAGTGAAACATCCCCTATATGGTGGTGGCCTGCTATGTGCGCCACAACATATGTGAGCACAAAGGAGAGACTTTCCTGCCAAGGTGGGGGGGCAGATGCTGATTATCTGGCCAGGGCTTATGAGCAGCTGCACACCGTTACCACCCGGATTGCACATCGGGGGCTGTGCTCATCTGGGAGGCCTTGAGGGAGCGTTTCAGCTAAGGCCACCTGTTAGAATCTCCCCGGGGCCTCTCCACAAGGGGTGCCTGCAAAGCAAATAAAAAAAGCCTTTGTTCAAACCAAAACAACTCTGGGTTTTTTCTTTGGGGGGAGGAGGAGAAGATATACAATAGGAGAGGGACTAGAGAAAGAACCTAGGGGGAAGGAGAGGAGGAGGGGCTCAGGTATGGGGGTGGGAGTGGCACCTACCACAGGAGGCTTTGGTTGCCCAGGAGGTCCCACCACTATGGCTACGTCTACATTGGCCCCTTTTCCGGAAGGGGCGTGCTAATTTGAAGTAGGAATAAGAGATCCTCCGGAAAAGGGCTTTTTTCCGGAGGATCGGGCCGGATCGGGGCCAGTGTAGACGCTCTTTTCCGGCTTTTCTAAAAGCCGGAATAAAGCGGCGGACATTTTTATTTAAATGCCGCGGGGGATATTTAAATCCCCCGTGGATTTCCCTATTACGATCTGAAAAATTAGCACGCCCCTTCCGGAAAAGGGGCCTATGTGTTTGGGAGCCCTGGCAGCCCTTGGGGAGAGGGGGGGAGGCTAGAAGCCAGGGGGGCAGGTACAGCTGCTGGTATGGGTGCGGGGAATTGGGGAGGTGTGGGGAGTTGAGCAGGTGGGGGTGGGAAGGTGGCTGGTGGCCCACTCCATACACACTGCCATGCGCTCCAACACAGAGGCGAGGGAAGATCACATGGACTTGAGCTGGCACGACAGCTGGTCCCACATGGCCTTCTGCTGCTCCCAGTCAGCCTGGCACTCCTCACAGTACGTGGCCTGCTCCCCACGATCCTCATCAAACCCCTGGATGAGGGACAGGAGGCAGGCCATTTGATCCTGCAGGAGGTCTTCCCTTTCTGCAGCGGATCCCACAGTCAGGAAGATGGCGTGGGATGTAGCACGCTCGCAGCTGGCCTAGCTGTGGAGAATAGTGACAAGGGCAGATATCCCAGGAGACACTGTGCATGAAGCTTAGCCTGAATCTCTGAGTCAGCACCGACTGTCTCGGTTCATACAATGGTGATACGCTTCAAGCAAGGCCATCTGCTGCCTAGACAGTGGACACTTTCATGCAGCGATGGACATCCCAGGGGAGCCTCGCTACTCCCACATTCCAGGGATAAGCAGGCACGGGAAGGTGCCAGCCAGGCTTGGAGACTGCAGGCAGGAAGAGGCAATGGGTTGGCTTGGCCTCCTTTCGTGTCCCACATATACCGGGTCTGGTTTTGGTAGCATCCCACAGAGACAACTTCTATCCCTGCCCACTGGAAAAGAGGAGGGGAGTGTTAGGGGTAGGTGTGTGAGAATGGCAGAGGCCACTTGCTGGAGTGGTACTGGGGTGTCCTCCTCTTCGTCCCCGTGGCAGGTTTCTTTGCAGGGGACCGGTCTCCTTCCCATCACCTTGTGTGACTGGGAGCGGATGCTGCCCAAGGGGTCATGAGCCTGTGCCCTGTGTGGCACTGCTGTGTTTCCATGATCCCAGCCTCCTTAGTGGTGGCTTGTCATGGGAAGATGTCCCACCACAGAGGCCAGAGTAAGGCAGGCCTCTCCAGGAACCTTGTGAGAAGGAGCGAGGGGTTCCTGTGTGGCAGCATCATGGAGGAAAGTGCTCCAGACTGGTGCTCCAAGAGACCAGGCTGTTGTGTGATCCTCAGGCCAAGTAGGCCGAGCGAGGAGCGCACAGCCTCTTGCAGCCCACTGCTTGCACCCACATGTCTATAGGGAAATTTATGGAATTCACCCAAAGTGCCTTCCCTGGGATCGTCCAAGCCCTGGGAGACATCCTGGAAATGGAGGACTGGCTCCAGGATGAGGATCAGCTCCTGTCTGGCGGGCATGGTGTCCTGCTCCTCCTCCTCCACAACCCTGCCCTTTTGGAGGCTAATGCCCTGGGTATCCTGGCCGGAGCTTATGACAGCAATGGGGAGAGAGGAGGCAGCTATGCGGTGCCACTCCAGAGCAAGAACTTTGTTCCCTAGCCTTAGTGTAGGCCTGCTGGAGTTCTTTGACATTCATGCGAACCTGGTCGAGGGTCCGCATGTGGCTTTTCTCCACCAGGCTGGCTACAGACATCGGCATTCTGCCTTCTGGTGCGGAAATCCTGGATGTTGGTCTCTTGCAGGATCTCCACACCAGTCCAGGCTACTGCCCCCTTTTCATCCCTGGCCAGGGGCATCAGAGGGTGCTGCAGGAGTGCTGGCAGCCACATAGGGCACAGAGGGAGCGCTGGGGTCCAACATGACTTAATGAAGCGTGCTATGTGGCATGGGGCTAGCAAGTCTGCCCTGGTGCCACAAGCACTTTCCCTTCTGCCTGCAGCTTTAAACTCTGCAGAAGGGGAGCACTGGAGTTGTTAAGGGTGTGGCCAGAGTGGTCACAAGTTCAGCTGAGAGAGGTCTCTGGAGACCAATTATTTTGAAACAGCAGCAACTGAGCATCCACACTAACGCTACTTTGAATAACAATTTCAAAATAAGTATTATTCCTCATGACAAGCAGGAGTTATTTCAAAATAAATATTTTGAAATAACTCCCTAGAGCAGACAAGGGCTCAGTGAGGCATAGATGGATGAAGAAAGGCTGAAATATTACTCTGTGCGTATGTGACCAGAAGAATGGGAAAAGATACCTCACGTTGTGAATCAAGAGTGACTTCAATGGAGTCAACAGAATCACACCCTTGTATACTGGATGTGAGACCAGAATCAGAACACCTCTCTTCAAGATATCCCCTCCACGATACCTGTGTAACCCTTTGCCTTCAGTGGGCTTGTACAGTTGTGACTTTGAAGCTCACTGAAGACATTTGTTGATTATGAAAAAGAAACAGAACCCACCTTGTCCTCTTAGGGCTTGCCTACATGGGAAACTTTTACTAGGGCAGTTACATGCGTATAACCCCTAGAAAGACACTCTAATGCGGGTATAAGAATTGCTATTTTCAGTTTAGATTAAGCATTCCCAAACAATGCAAGTAAAACGGAGAAAAGCTGCTCTCATACCAAAATCAGAGTGTTTATGATGGGGCGTGGTGGTCAACTATGTAACTGAACAACTATAATCAGTTTAAATATACTGCATGCAATACTGAATACATTTGCCTATGTAGATAAGGCCTTTCTGATTTGCCTCTACAGTACTGGGAGTAAAGCAGTAAAACATATTCTTGTTATTACAATAAAAAGATCTGGTTCTGAAAGCAAAAAGGAAACATTTCTTCTAAGCATTTTTATAAAGTAGCATTACAGAATAGAAAAAAAAGTGGACCGATTTTTTTCTTTGATGAGGACTATGAACAAACCATGGCTTTACATACATTCTTCAATGGCAGATGGTGTAGGAACTAAAACCACCATATTTGTTTATTTATTCTGATTGATTTAATACATTTTAATGTGGTGCACATTGCCCACTTTAATTTACTTCATTCCTATACACATTTAGATGTGTATTAAATTCAGACCTTAACAAATTTGACAAGTGACTCTTTGGAACTAAATATTTGGTTCATGTAGTAGTAAAATGAATCCACTGCACACTCTGGTTAATCCATTTTATTTTCTTTATAAATGTATCATTGAAACCACTGACCCATCTTGGAGGAACATACTTAAAAAAAGATTTATAAACCAAATAATTGTTTTCTTGAACAGTTTATATATTGCTTATGATTATGCAGATTGTTTCCATAAGCACAGAAACATATAGCTAGTGCCACATCAGATCTACTTTCTAACAACAAGAAAAATCACAAACAAAAGGGCCACCCTATAATTTTAAAAAACTCTGAGGAGTTCCATTTCTGCATTTGGATATCAATATTGTGAAGACAAACAAACTGATTTTCCTTAAAAAAAAAACCGCTAAGGAAAAACGTCACCATGTTCTTTGAAACTTTTTAAAAAAAAACTTGATGGAAGAACCTCTGCTTCAAAAGATCTTCAGAGTTTAAAAACAGTCCAATACTGCCACATGGTGGCAATGAATGGGCATTGTTCATTTTGAAAGTGTTGAGTAATAGAAGTGATAACATCTACTTGAGAACAAAATATGTTAAATATCTAGTCCATGAATAATCACAGCTATAAATAAAAAGAAAAATGAACTCTGAGAACAGAGTCTTTACGAAGGAAATATAATTTATCTAGTAACAGGCTCATATAAGAAAAATAATTTAAGATATTTTGTGATTAAGTCTTTAGCCTTGTTACTCTCCTCCCAGGAAAGCAGTTTCCACCCACACATTTCTCAGTACAGCATGTTCTTGCCAACAAGCAATATTTAAGCGTATCTAAAAAGTCTATGACCATTTATTTCATTTTATTGTTTTTAAAGGCAGGAACTTTTAAACAATGTAATGCCAGTTGGCATGAGACTTTTTCTTCCTGGAATTCAGGAAGTCATAGAAATTTAATTTAAAAATTCTCTTTTACACAGACTTTTTGATGGCTGCCTTTCTCACACTGAAGAGATATGCTTCATAGATAATGTTTAAGAAGTTGTCGTCATTCTGAAAAACAAAATAAATAAGACTTATTATTGGAAGTTCCCATGCTAAAAGGTTCTGAATTATTTTCTTTTCAGAGTCTAATGAATTTTCAACCTTACCATCCCACTCAAAATTGGCATTAATAGGAGATTTTCATCACCAAACACACAAAAACAGATCACAAAACCCAAACACAGTGTTATCTACAGCTTATAGCTTTAACAGCATTTTCACATACATTGGCGGCATGAGAAAAGGGGGAATTCTTATTTTTTTAGACGAGTTGAAGAGATGGAAAACAGGAAACTTTGTAAATTTGTGCTAGCATTGGGGCTGGAGGAAAATTAGACTTTTCTCTTCCTCATTCTGCAAGACTTCTGCAGTGATAACATAATTGCAATTTCTTCCCTTCACCCTAATTATCACATAAGGAGGAGATCCTTTACGTAGTTTCTGTTCCTTATGAACTCCTGTAGCAATAATACCAAAGTGCCTGGGAGAGCAGGTGTGCTGATTTAGTTCCTGTTGTTACACTAAATTCTATGCAGGTAAATTACTGTACCTGCAGTAAGTGTCATTGGCTTTAACAGTCTTAAGCTGCACTGGTTCCTCCAGCCATGCATTCTTAAGTAGATGGTGGATTCTTGATCACCTGCTTAGGGTCTAGCGGATCTTCATATGTGGACTGGGGAAGGAATTTTCCCTCAAGTCAGATTGCCAAAGATCTTGAGGCTTTTAGCATTCCTCTGTAGTAGGGAATCGGAGTCATTTGCTGGTATCTCTAATTCCCAGTCTTTCCAATGATCTTAGGCATTGTGCACCTTGGTCCCTCATATTGTCTACAATGATCTTAGGCATTGTGCACCTTGGTCCCTCATACTGTCTACCAGTAGCATGTAACAATTTAGTCTCGTATGGGCTGTAAGCTTTGGTTTAAAATCAGCCGCTGGTTTAGTGTGGAGATGCTGGATGGTGTTGATGACCTATCATGCAGATAATATGGTAGTCCCTTTTGACTTTGAACTCTACGGCTCTTTTGGACAGTAGTTCTCAAAGCTTCATTCATTCTGCAGACCATTTTGCAATAAAATATTTTTCCACAAACCATCTCCCTTTCTGACACTGCAATACACCACACTGGTTGGTTCTCAAAATGATTCATTTTGCAGACCACAAAGGCTTTTATACACCACAGTTTAAGAACTATGGCATCAGAACTTAACAACCTGACAGAATGGAGGAACAGAACAACTCAAATTACAAGGGAGTGAACACACACGCATGAGCATAGGAGGATAACTAAAATTACAACTTTGCTTGGTGAATCAGAATCATATGAGATTGATGCTGCAAATCAGGAGACAATGGACATGAAGCCTGCTTCCAGTATCAAATGCAGAATGTTTTAACAACAGGTAATTTCCTAGCAATCTAATTAATCTTTGTACCACGGAGAAAAACCTGCTTATATGTACTTTTTGCAGACAAAGCTTCAAAGTATAACATGTACAGTCCTTGTGACAGAACATACCCATACTCACATCCTACATACTACTGCATTAATCTTTGTACAAAGTATGCCTTGAAAGGTATCATTTGAAAACTAATTTGCTGGTATAAAATGTACATAGCAGTGTTATATGTGAAGTTATAAACAAACCAAAATCATTACTAAAAGTATGTTTTCCAGAAAAGTCTGAGGAGTGGCCAAATCAATTCCTTAGAGACAGAGCAAGCTGATGCCTCAGCTAGGTGCAAACAACAGTTAATGGTCCATCAACCTTAAGTGGCCATTCTTTGGCAGAAAAGCAGTCAGAGGCAAAAATCCATATTAGCAAAGAAAGAGCATGGAGCTCCCTTCCACAAAGACTACCTGTCCCTTTGTTCCCACTGGAAATGTTTTTCAAGAGGGGAACTGAAAAATATAAAATATATAAAAATTTTTTAAAAAGGACAATTTTTCTAAAAACTCACCAAAAGACTAAAAATAATAAAAAAAGGGCACCAAAAAGTCTAAAAGTTTTAAGCTAGCAGTTTAGGAGAAAGATTGGATGGCTAACAGTTAGCAACTAGCCTGAATCGTGCTTAGCCATCCAATCTTTCTCCTAAATTGATAGCTTAAAACTTTATTTTTGTCTTTTTGGTCTTAAATCTAGTGTGTTTCAACTAATAAAAACTCCAAGATTCATTCTGATATGCTTATATATTTTGAGCTAGATTTTTTTACAAAATTTTTTTTGCACTAGGTATTTATATTTGTAATGAAAAACAGTTGTGTGTAAGGCAAGGATAAAGTAATTGAGGTGATCGATCAATTGTTTTGGTTGGTGAAAAGGAGGAAGGCTTTGAAGATGCTGTTCTTCCATGACAAACACTGTTGTCCATTAATTTGTTTGGATCAATTTCTACACCTATCTCTACACCTTCTAATGAACGTACTTGACTGAGCGCCACAAATGGTTGAGCTGGCGCAATGTATTGAGAGCCAAGATTCACAACTGCTCTATCCACTGGGATCCCTTTAGTTTGTGGGCGGTAACAGCATAAGCGTGATGATTGGAAGCATTCACCGCTCCACCACGCTGTATCCTAAATGTGCTTGAAATTGACATGATTGAATTTGAAGGCGATGTCGGAAAGCACATCAATGAACCAATTTCAACTTTAGGGATATCGGTTTCATGAATTTGGTTGTGGCAGAAATAGGGCTATATTATGTTGGTGATGGTGCCAATTTTGCCATTGACCAAACTTGTTGCTTGGTCAACACTGTACCGACACACAACTTTAGCGCCCAGATGTATTCCAATTCTCTTTAGAATGCCTGCCTGTCAAGGGGTACGCCCCCGTCCAGGGGCTCGGCCCCCTCCGACCAGGCCTATACAGTACTCCAGAGTCCCTAGGCCAACGTCCCGGCCCTTCTATTAGGGTATGTACGGTAGTAAAAGTCTCAACACAAAAGTCCCGGCCCTTCTATCAGGGCATATACGGTAGTAAAGGCCTAGTCGCTCTGAGAAGCCTCCCCTGGCCCGGGGTTTGTTTGTCCAGGGAAGGGGAAAACGGGTGGTAGGGGGACCCGGGCCCTCCCTCTCCACCGGGTCCCAGCCCAGGGCCCTTTAGGCAGGGTCTATGGCTCCTGCCGGCTCGGCGGGGGATCCGGCCGATACAGGCCGAGCCAAACTTTGTCTCCCTTGCCCTGGGCCGCTTCCTACCACGCCCTGGTTCCCCCGGGCCCCTTCGCCTCTCAGGCAGGACCTGGCGGGGTTGAGGGCGAGCTCCTGCCACTCTGGGCCGGCGGCTGCTTCCTCCGTGTCCGGGTCCGGCGCGGGCGACGCCTCTGGACCCAGCGGCTGCAAGAACTCCGGTCCGGCCTGGTCTCCTCCTTCTCCCTGGGGCCTTCCTGCCTGCTGGGCTCCTCCGGCCTTTATACCCGGCCGCTGTTGGGAGCATGCCCAGCAGGGTCGGAGGGGCGGGGCCTTCTCTGCCAGCTGGGCCTGGGCTATCTCCTGCTCGTTAGTGCGGGGCCTGTCCGCCCCGTCACAGATGCATACAACTGACATACACAACATACACGTTCAGAGTCATTTATAATTTGCACCACATTCTCACTAATACTTATTGCAATAGCATATATCCGTTTATCGATCTTTGTTGGGATAGCTTGATAAAGGTTAGGCACTCGTCTTCTCTGCTCAATGAGTAGTGTATTTTGCACTGTGATTGTGAACATTTGGAGGTTTGCATTGTCTAAACTGGACAAAACTTAATTATTGTGGTTGTCCACAATACAATATTGTGGTTTACAAGTTGGCCTGATTCTCAAAACTTTTCCCGGTGAAAAGTACCCTTGTTGCTGGCTTTCCTCACATTTATATAGTAATATATTTAGTTGTTCTAGTGAGAGTTTTTCGCTTGAAGATTTAAAATTTCGATAAATGTATCCCCTTGCTGTTGCATGTTTTCAGTCAATTCACAAAAGCTAAAGAGGCACCAGAGATGCACAGCAGGTCTCAGTGAAACAGGCAGCTTATAAATGGGACTGCCTGATACTAGTAGAAATTGAAGGAGATCACCGAAGAGCAAGATGTTCAAGCCTCCAAAAAGTTAATCAAAATTTTTACGTTCTCTTAACCGAAGATCAATGTACACTAACCACTCATATGGTATCATAGAAACTTCTTCAATGATAACGAATCTCACATGATGCCATTGGCGTCACATAAATTGAAGGTAATCTCTAGACAAGGATGTCAAAGAGGGCATGTGGCAGTCTTTTTGAATGGGCAACTTGAACATTGAGTTCAGCATTTTGGTCGTTGACCAATAATGCAGCTACTCCAGTGGGGGCTGCCACTTTGAAGAAGGTCCCAGCAGGATCTACTGGTCAGTAAAAATGATAAATCAGCTTAATCAGCAGCTTGAGTAGAAATGTCTTGCCAGTTCTGGCGCCTACAGTGATGAACAACAGGAGAGGTGGCGTTGCTGGATTCTGATCTGTGGCTAATAGCTCATGCTAAATGTGGGATATAATGTAGTTGAACAGTTGTCTCTGTTTGAGACTCATTCAAGATCTTCCGCTTTTGAAATCTTCACCTGGCATGTTAAAGTTCGATTCTTCCACCTCAATCAACTTGATTTTGTCTGGATTTCGATTCTGTTGAGCTTAGCCATACTCTATCTGCATGAAAGTGTTAATTTGATTGATGGCAGCTTCTATTTCTTGTTCAAATCACTGGAATTCTTTTATGTTACTGTTCCTCGATCGCAAAAAGTCGACTGGCAATAAAGAATTGCTCGGCAGTTCCGTGTCCTTCCAAAAGCTCAGATTCCTTTCGAAAAGGTCTTTAAAGAAGCAGTAAGTCATAGAAGTAGCCTTCTTTATCTATTGTGTATGAAAAGCGAGGGGGTGCATATGACAGCTGGTCTTGTCCGAATATTCATCTTTGATCCATCTTTCAAGGTAAGCAAATGTGAGGGCACGATCCCACTCAAATCAAACTTTCCAGAAGCCTCTGGAACCCATCCCAATCAAACTGAACTTTGCAGAAGGCCTTCCAACCCTTGCAATACAAATATGATGCACACCCATATGTTTGTATAGGTATCTGCACGTGTGAGAGAAAGTTGGAAATCCCATGGCAGACAGACAAAAACAGTTTCTGTTTAATAGAAAGACTGTCTAATAAAAACAAAACAAACAAAAAAGCAGGGGCAGATTCCCCAAGAAACCCTCTGTCTCTCCCTGCCCATCAAATTCCTTGACAATGAAGAAACAAAGGACTCTGGGGGAGGTGGCTGACTTAAAGAGTTTGTTTCAGCAGTCTTATTGATCATGTGTCAAGGAAAATTTTGTTTTGAATCCAACATAAATTAGGCACCAGAAAGATGACTGTTTGGGGCCAGGGGATTATTAATGCTCCTTTTAGATCTGGTATGGTTCCCCTCATCTTGAAATAGGTGGTGATAAAACATTACTTAAGAAGCCTTCCCTGGACCCATATGATTTGAATAACTATCACCCAGTCGCTAATATTCCCTTCCTGGGCAAGGTACTCAAGTGGGCAATGGTGTTGCAACTCCAAACTTTCTTGGAATAAACAGATTATCTAGATCCATTTCAGTCTGGAGATAGATAGAAGGAGTGCATCCCTGTTGATTCTCTTGGATCTCTCGGCGGCTTTCGATACCATCAACCATGGTATCCTTCTGGAGTGCCTCGCAGAGTTGGGTATCAGAGGCACTGTTTTGTGGTGATTCCAGTCTTACCTGTTAGGAAGCTTTCAGAAGGTGCAGCTGGGGGTGGGGTGGGAGGAGGGGCTGCTATTTGACCTTGTGGCGACTGTGCTATGGGGCCCCGCAAGGTTCCATCTTGTCCTCTATGATGTTTAACATCTACATGAAACCGCTGGAGAGGTCGTAAGATCTGGAAGATGGGTGCAGATGACACCCAACTTTATTTCTGTGTGACACTGGATCCAGGTGTGGTGGCACCTGATCTGAACCGGTGCCTGGAGGTGGTGATGGACTGGATGAGGTTGAATAAGCTAAATCCAGATAAGACCAAGGTCCTTTGGCCCAGGAAGCTATCTGTCTGGGAATGTGGTATGTTACCTGTTCTGGATGGAGTCACACTCCCCCTGAAAGAATAGGTATGTAGCTTGGAAGTCTTCCTGGACCCTTTTCTAACATTTAAGAATCAGATTTCTTCAGTGGCCAGGCGTGCTTTTGGGAAGCTTTGGCTCATCCACCAGCTGAGACCCTTCCTGAATAAGAATGACCTGGCTACGGTGATTCATGCTTTTGTCACATCCTGATTGGACTACTGCAATGCACTCTTACACGGGGCTGCCTTTGAAGAGACTTCGGAAACTTCAACTGGTCCAGAACGTGGCTGCTTGAGTTTTAACTAACACTCATTATACGGAGCACATTATGCTGGTGCTCCAGCAGCTGCGCTGTCTTCTGGTATATTTCCAGGAACAATACAAGCCACCCTTCTTACCTGTGCTTTTATTGGTGCTTGTGTGTGTGTGTGTGTATATGTGTGCGCGCGCGCCAGTCCATCCCACCTCTTGAGATGTCTTTGCAGGTTTTATGCCCCTGTTGGGATCTTATATTTAACTTTTTTATATCTATTGTGTTTTAAAATTTTTGTAAGCTGCCTTGAATATTTTAAATAGTGAGATGGGGGAAAATATTTATAAATAAATAAATAAACGAATAAATACAAACCAGAAATGATTACAACAAAAATGTATGGGGCTTGTACTGTCAACCCCCCTGATTATTTTTAGTAAAGGATGACACAGACATGTCACAGGCTTCTGTGGATTGTTGTTCATTGACTGCAACCTGGCTGTGATTTTTAATAAAAATAACCGTGACAAAATCTTAACCTTATTTAGGTATGCCCTCTCTCCGTTCCATTATGCAAGTCATTAATGAAAATACTGAATAGTACCAAATTCCCACCCTGTGAAATCCCATTAGATGTATCCTCCTTGTTGGACAGCACGAGAACGGTTCTTCAAACAGTTGTGCATCACTTTCTAATAATTCCATCTAGACTGCTTTTCCCTAAATTGTTTACGAGACTGTCATGTGGAACTATCAAAAGCTTTACTTAATTACGTCTGCTATTTCTGCCTCCCTCCCCACCACTAGGCTAGTAGCCCCATCAAAGAAGGAAACTAGGTTGGTTTAGCAGAGTTTGTTCCTGATAAATCCATGCTTGCTGTTCTATAACCCTGTTATCCTCTAGGTGCTTACAATAGTTTTCCAGATCAACAAAGTTAGGCTGACTGATCCTATAATTCCCCAGTTCTTCTTTGTTCCCCTTTTTAAAGATAGGTACTTTATTTGCCTTTCTCTAGTCCTCTTCTAGACTTCACCTGTCCTCCATGATTTCTTGAAGATAATTTGTCTCAGCTAGTTCCTTAGGTATTTTAGGATGATATCCATCTAAATAGTCTTTTCTTATTTTACATTCCTTCCCCCTTGTTAAAATTAATTGTGTAGAGAATCAGAAAACCTTTTGTTAGAGAAGTTTGAAGCAAAATGCTCATTAAACACCTCAGTCTTCTTGATGTCCGTTATTAGCTTCCCTGCGAAGTAGAGGACCTACACTTATGTAGACAAGTGGCCAGGACGTTGACTATGTCTACGCTGGGAGGGTTTGGTGACAAAAGTGCTGTTGACATGCAAAAATCAGCAAAAGTAAAAACCGATCAAACTGTATTTTCTTACTCCTATTATCAACATTTCATGGCCATGTTGCTAGCTCCCCTGTCAATAGATAAGAGCAAAGCAACGTGGGTAAGCATCCCACAGTGCAGTATTGTGGGGGGGGCAGAACTAATCCCTATGCTTCTTGGGATTCTCTCCGAGTTCTCCCATAGCACTTTCAGCTGCTGGGAGAAGTATCATGAGTAGCTCTGTGAGCTCTCCATGCTGAGGGATGTCAAAGCAGCACAGAAGTCTCTCCAGCCTTCCTCCTGCAGCAGCGAGGTTACTCGACTAGTCAATTAACTGATATTTAACATTCCTAGGCCAGACCCTGGGCTCCATGCAGTGCTGCTTTGAAATGCAAGCCCAGGTCCCCAGCTGGCCCGGGCTACATGCAGTATTTCAAAGTGGAGGTGCCACGTGCAGCCCAGGGTCAGCAGGGAAGTCCCCAGCTGACCCCACGCTCCACATGGCACTGCTGCTTTGAAACACCATGTAGAGCCTGACACTGGCTGTTGCTACACTTCAAAAATGGAAGCACCCTTATTGACTAATTGAATAGCCAATGCAAATTGCATCGACTATTCGATTAGCCAAATCGAAATTTTACATCTCTATTCTAGTATTCATAAAATTTCAAGATAGGATCTTCAAAGAGCACTCATTCTACCCTGTGACAAATACAGAATAGTTTTCTATATAATGTTCCCGAGTGTCCTGTCAAGATTGTATCTGAGTCGGTATCTGAATCAAGTTGGATTTAATGGACGTTGTTGTTGTTGTAAAAATTAAAGAAATATCGAAATATTTTTAAAATCTTTACTTGTTCACTTTCAACTCATTATTTCTTATTCCTATCTGAACTTCTCCTGCCCTAACATGGATATCCTTTAAGGATTTCCAAAGTATTGCCATTGATATGCTCTTCTTTTAGCTCAATTATATTCATGTAGTAGTTTTCACCTTTAAGGCAATTCCTTTAAGTCCATAGCATCTTGGTTCCCTGAATCCCCTCAAATGTATTACCATTCTTAAACTGCTGCACCCAAAACTGCAGCATTAATCAAAATGCAGTTAAACCAAAATTGTACCAACAGGGACAACGATTTATCACTTCTTTAATATACAGCCAAAATAGTACAACACTTGGTGGACATTTGAGTTTACTAATCTATCAACCAGACTGGTGAGTGGGATCAATTATGCATCATGCAAGCGAAGGGGGAATGTTTCTGATTCTTTACCTGGATCAGGTGTAAAAGTGTTTCCTGCAGTTGCATCTTGGTCAAGGAGTTGCTATTTATGATTGATGGCTCTGGATTCTGCATAGGAAGGAGAAGACTAGCGGCATTGGCAGGAGATTCTTGATTTGCAGGTGGTAAGCACCTACTTTCACTTGCCTTTGGCGGAGCAGGTGTGGACTGCGTGAACAACATGGGAGACATCAGCAGTGTAGGAGTCACGGTAGCAGGAATACGCTGAGGTGAGATTACCTGTCAATACACAAGTTAATAAAAAAAATGGAAGCATTTAAGCAATGTATATATTCACTAAGAATACAGGAGCAAAGATGAAGAGGACTCCATCCTGCAACAGAATCACAAGAGCAAATATGCAAGAGTACAGTGAAGATTAAGAGTATCTGGGGCTCACGATCACCCATGTATTCAAAACTGCAGTACTGAATCTCAAGTATAATAAAGTCTTCATAACTGGCAATTTACTTAAATACAAAATCAGATTATTATAAAAGTTTGACTATTCTAAATATTAGCACTGTAGAAGAATGGCAAACTGCAACACTTGAGGTCCTTCTTAGAAGGCAGTCTTTCCATGTCCCCTGGTTTGAGAATACACTTGCTAGTATGAATGTGTACCTTAATAAATATTTTGTACTTAATAGTGACCTATAGTGCTTTTCATCTACAGCTCTTAAAATACTGTGGGGAGGGGAAATGCATCCTCATTTTACAGACTGGAAAACAGGAAGAAGAGCTTAAGTGACTTGCCCAAAGTTCCATAGCAAGCTGCTGGCAGAGCAAGAACAGAATCCAGTATTGACTTTCTGGCCCATGTTCAATACACTGGACGGACATGGACACAGAAAACACAAGCCTATGAAAAAGAAACCATCTTCACCAGAAACCTAGAAAGCTATTATCAATCTGCCAGAGTTCCCTTAATTTTAGTTTAAGTAGGGAGCTACATATTGACCTGAAAGTAGACTACAAACCTGCAGAGTTTTTATCCTTTTTATTTTGGGGTACATTTGGAACCATTAAATGTGCAGCATTGATAATGCTGGTAGGAATAAGATAATATGATAAGGACTGTCTAAGTAGCAGAGCAGCTGGCCCACTCTGGCCAGAAGGGGTTAAAGCAGGCTGGAGGGAGCCTGTGCAGAACCCCAGCCAATGAGGAAAGGGCTCCTAGGGGAGCCAATTAGAAAGTGGCTTGTTGAGGCAGTCCTGATTATAAGGAGCTGCTTAGCAGAGCATTGGGGTCCATACCAATGAGGGTGCAGGACTGATTTCCTGAGAGAAAGCATCCTGGATAGAGCAGTACTAGTCAGGCTCAGGGAAGCGAGATAGACAGGCTCCCACCTGACACCTGTCAGGCTGTAGGCCTTGATACAGGGGCAAGGAGGTGCAAGGAGTCACAGGGAAGTGGACCAGGGAGCAAGAGGCAGTAGAGAGGAGAGGAGAGCAGGAAAAGGATACCGCCAGACGGTCTCCGAATTGGGGACACAGAGTAGTGGGTGAGCCTGGGTCCCTCCCTTCCCCTTTGCACCACACCTAACCACATTTAAGGATGGCCTTTATAGATTGTGGCTTGATCCTGAGGTGAGGGCTAGAAAGGGCTATAGTTGGCCATGGTGGCAGAGGACAAGACAGAACTCCTGATACCCCCAGAAGGGGAGAAAGATCAAAGTGGTGGGCACTGCCAGAAGGCAGTGTCCCAAAGAGGATGTTGTGGTCCTGGGAGTGATATCTATCAGGCCCTGCTGGCTTGAATACAAGTACTTTATCTAAATATTCTTTTCCTATTTTACATTCCTTCCCCCTTGTTAAAATTAATTGTGTAGAGAACCAGCAAACCTTTTTTTTTTTTTTTTTTAATAGAAGTTTGAAGCAAAATGCTCATTAAACACCTCAGTCTTCTTGATGACCCTTATTAGCTTCCCTGCTAAGTAGAGGACCTACAGCTAGAGCATGGAGAGCGCAAAGTGACAAAAGGCGAGACACCAGCCAGAAGGGGGTGCCCTACTGAGAACTGAGCTAATTCCTGGAATGACAAGCAGGAGGAGCTGTGGTGGTGAGTTTCAACACTGTTACAGGCTGTTTAAATGTTCGCCAAAAGGCTCTAGCAATGGACCTTAATTTTAGTTTGTAGCTTTCCTCATTGCTGAAGTATCTGGCATTATTGGAGAGACTCCAAATGGGAGCAATATTGTCATGCCTGTGATTTGGATTAAAAAACACAACCACCATCAAACAAACATAGCCGCATCTTCTAAAACTCTATATAAGTTTGACTCTCTCAATGACAGATGTTGGTCTAATAAAAGATATTTCCTCACTACATTGTGTCTTTAATATCCTGGGATCAATGCTACAAGATGACTTAATATTTACTGTTATTGTATCTAAACTATTTGAACACCATTCAGCATAATATGCAGTCATTCCAAAAAGAGAGAGAGAAAAGGACTAATTTTTCAGGCTACTTTATGATGCTAAATTTACCGGTACAGAAAAAACTTTCTAAAAATTTGTGGATATGAAAAAGCATGCACTATGCACTGTGTCAATGTCTGTCACTAACTGCACTGTTAAGTAAATATTGTTTTTCTATTTTTCAAAGCCAGACTTTGTTAAAAAGAAAACTATTTACCTACAATTTCTATTCTATTCTTGTTCTATCCTCAGAGGCCAAGATGAACAAGTTTTTTCCCTCCTCCTTATGACACCCTTTTAGATACCTGAAAACTGCTATCATGTCCCCCCTCAATCTTCTCTTTTCTAAACGAAACAAACCCAATTCCTTTAGCCTTCCCTCATAGGTCATATTCTCTAGACCTTTAAATCATTCTCGTTGCTCTTCTCTGGACCCTCTCAATTTCTCCACATCTTTCTTGAAATGTGGTGCCCAGAACTGGACACAATACTCCAACTGAGGCCTAACCAGCGCAGAGTAGAGCAGAAGAATGATTTCTCGTGTCTTGCTCACAACACACCTGTTAATATATCCCAGAATCATGTTTGCTTTCTTTGCAACAGCATCACTGCTGACTCATATTTAACTTGTGGTCCACTATAACCCCTAGATCCCTTTCTGCCGTACTCCTTCCCAGACCGTCGCTTCCCATTCTGTATGTGTGAAACTGATTGTTCCTTCCTAAGTGGAGCACTTTGCATTTGTCTTTATTAAACTTCATCCTATTTATCTCAGACCATTTCTCCAATTTGTCCAGGTCATTTTGAATTATGACCCTACCCTCTAGATTAGTCGCAATCCCTCCCAGCTTGGTATCATCTGCAAACTTAATAAGCGTACTTTCTATACCAATATCTAAATCGTTGATGAAGATATTAAACAGAGCCAGTACCAAAACAGACCCCTGCGGAACCCCACTTGTTTGTAGATAAAAGAAAAGTAATATGCTTCTACAGAATTTGGATTCAATGTCTGGTTCTTAAAAATCAAAGATACCACTTTGCTCTAGGGATGTAATAGTATAATCGATTAACTGACTAATCAAAAGCTTATAGGTTAATGCTATAGACTATACGCATTTCCACCCCCTCCTCCCACCAGTAAATTTTTTAGCAGGCTGGCTAGCAGCCCAGCTCAGTTCTGGGTTGTGCTGGATTCAGGACCTACCGCGGACAAGGCTGTTTTTTAAACTGGCCCCCCTTGTGGACCAGCTCCCACCTGATATGGAGGCGGCAGCACAGAGTGGCAGGGGGCTCCTTGGGAGTGGGGCCAGAGCGCAATGGCTGCTTGGCCTCGCCTCCGGGGACTACAGAACAGCTGAGTATTTTGATAAGAATTCATGAGGTTAATTGACTATTGAATTAACCAATATTTAACATCCTTACTTTGCACCATACAATCTGAGGAATAAATCTGTAACAAAGTACAGAGGTAGCACATGGACTTATTCTAGTCATAAGCAAATGTACAAACTAGTTTAGTAGGCATCACTTAAGAATTATTTATTTTTCAATTAGAGGAACTGCTTTTCACTAGTAAAACAAACAGAGGCTAAGTATGTAAGTGACTCTGCCATATATAGTGACAGAATAAAGTTAATATTTGGCTAATGTAAGACGTAAGTGATCATCACACCTAAAATGTCTCAGGATAGGACTAGAAAATATATGTACCTATTTCTTGTAAACAAAAAATCTTAGATTTTCTATGTAACAAGTTTAAAAATATATACTGTTAACCAATGAGATTCTGCATTTTCATAAATTCTAGCCTTTAAGTAGCTTCCTTACACATGGAGGATAATCTCCTTCAACTAAAAGGAGACTTCAGTTTAGCTATTGAGTTCAGCTACCCAAGTGACAAATTTTAGCCAATTACTTCTAAACTTCCATTGGAAACATCACATGTTGACTCTGGCATTATTACTGGTAGTACCTCCTGCAAACTTTCAATGAGAATAATTACTGTGGCTTGAAGATCCTGAACAATTTTTGGCAATGGAATAATTCCAGATAAAACACTTCTGAGGTGATCTTAGCTGGCCAGTGTGCAGGTGCCAAATTCAACTTATCCAACAAAGGAGAGTTTTTGCCATTAACCATATCTCTTATCTTTGGATAATTCCTCATAAGTACCCACATCATCTTCCTAAAAGTGTTGCTAATAGATTTTTTTCTGATGGAATTTAACCTGAGTTGCTTGTTCATTCACCATCCATTGATTGATTTATCTCTAACTTCAAGGCTTTAGTCTGATTAACCATTAGCAAAGGAGGAGTTTAGTTTGCAGTCAGCTGTACAACACTGCAAGAAAAAATGCTGCTTTGAAAAAATATTTACTTAAATATCTGTTTAGTATTCAGCAATGCTGCTGGCAGCTGAACAACATGGGACTTGAAGAATTTGTTGTTTTGTTTGAGCTGAGAAATTGGAACTCGTAAATTGAGCCTACTATCATGTATAGCTGATTGAAATGCCATATGTATCAAATGAGACTCTTAACACTAGTGGTTAGAGTACGTGTTGTAGACTTCTGGACATTTTTAGCAAATATTACTTAGGACTAAACATTTCACTTAAACTTCTCTCAGCAAATTCTAGATGCAGCTTGTGTCAAAATTTTATTGGTTAAAACCAGAAGTATAAAGTTGTTTTTATTGGCATATGCTCTTATGGGGCACTTCTCTGCTGTCAATTACATCTGAAATTCAAACAATGGATACTAAATTTATCTGTTGCCTACTTATTTATGACTGTTCAGAAATTTCCTCTCAAATATCTGATCACAGGTTAACTGTCATTACCCAAATACTATAAGTAGTATGAAAGAATCTATTGTAACTGGAAAGTTCATTCTACCATGAACTAAATGCTCTTAGTCATTTTTATGAATTGACCTGCCAAACCTAAGAAAAGTGTCATTCCAAGTTTATGGTATCATGGTATTTTTCAAGTTTATTATTATTTGTGATGAGTAAAAAATATCAGTTGTACAACCAAGCATTTCTGTTGCTTCATGCTAGACTACAAAGTACCAGATTTATGCACAAATAGAAATAATACTCTATATTGAAAGTGTATAACTGCTTTGTAGGCTGACCTAAGAAGAGGGGGTAAGTGGTCTATTGTAAATAGGATACATTATTTGTGTAGTTTCAAGGCTATGGTACATTCTTATGATCGTGGCATATACTTAAGATCATCCATATTCAGAACAGCATGTTTAATGATAACTAAGCATGTGCTTAAATTCCATTAGAGATCAATGCTTTCCCACTGAGAATTAAACATGCATTCATGTTGCCCTCCGTATGGATACTTTTCTGAATCAGTCTAGCACTAGGCTGAGTGCCTCTTTTGCAGATCTCTGCATAATTTTGTTCAGCTTGTGCTATTTTTCCCTGCAACTATTCTTTCCTTTCCATATGGGAGTTGAAAAGTTCTTATGCCATATGGAGATACATCACAAACCAATTTAAAAAACTGGGTTTGTAATGTGTCAGGATTGTTGTTCAAAAAATTTAAGCTCTCCTCTTCATTGAAGATTCATATCTGTTACTTATATATACACACACGGTCTTCCTTCCAAAAATGCAGCTATTGTTGAGGCAGCATTCTATTCCTGGTAGACATTGTAAAATTTGCTTTACTGGCCTTTGATCTGTAGTAGGAGCAGATGCCATTCTGAATGATAAACAGTTATAAGGAACAAACTTTTTGGTGCATTTACTGTCAGCAACCACGTTGATGCATCTTAAATCAGCATGTAAAAATATATTTGTGCCAAATCAATTTCATTGAAATGTTTATTCACATGACAGGATGGCACACAAGTCTTCAGCCTATACGAAACAGAATACTGACACACAGAGAAGGATTGACACGGATTTTAAAGTCTTCACAAATTTTTACCTTTCCATCCTTTTCAATAATAGGTATAACTGACTTGGCCAATTCGCTGAATTCTACATGGATAAGACCCAGTGCAACTCAATAGGTAATGTTTTACACAATCTAGTAGGTAGTGGTCCTAATGATTAAGGCTAAGATTTATTCACAGGTACTTTTGATAAGTCATGTACAGGTCACAGGCAATAAATTAAAAAATCCTGACCTGTCATAGAATCATAGGACTGGAAGGGACCTCAAAAGGTCATCGAGACCAGCCCCCCGCCCTCAAGGCAGGACCAAGCTCCGTCTACACCATCCCTGACAGATGTCCATCTAACCTGTTCTTAAATATCTCCAGAGAGGGAGATTCCACCACCTCCCTTGGCAATTTATTCCAATATTTGACCACCCTGACAGTTAGGAATTTTTTCCTAATGTCCAATCTAACCCTCCCCTGCTGCACTTTAAGCCCATTACTCCTTGTCCTGTCCTCAGAAACCAAGAGGAACAAATTTTCTCCTTCCTCCTTGTGACACCCTTTTAGATATTTGAAAACCGCTATCATGTCCCCCCTTAATCTTTTTTCCAAACTAAACAAGCCCAGATATTGAACAGTACGGGTCCCAAAACAGACCCTTGCGGAACTCCACTTGTTATCCCTTTCCAGCAGGATTTAGCACCGTTAACAACTACTCTCTGACTACGGTTATCCAGCCAATTATGCACGCACCTTATCGTGGCCCTATCTAAGTTATATTTGCCTAGTTTATCAATAAGAATATCATGCGAGACCGTATCAAATGCCTTACTAAAGTCTAGGTATATGACATCCACCGCTTCTCCCTTATCCACAAGGCTCGTTATCCTATCAAAGAAAGCTATCAGATTAGTTTGGCATGACTTGTTCTTCACAAACCCATGCTGGCTATTCCCTATCACTTTATTACCTTCCAAGTGTTTGCATATGATTTCCTTAATTACCTGCTCCATTATCTTCCCTGGGACAGACGTTAAACTGACCGGTCTGTAGTTTCCTGGGTTGTTCTTATTCCCCTTTTTATAGATGGGCACAATATTTGCCCTTTTCCAGTCTTCTGGAATCTCCCCTGTCTTCCATGATTTTTCAAAGATCATAGCTAAAGGCTCAGATACCTCCTCTATCAGCTCCTTGAGTATCCTGGGATGCATTTCATCAGGACCTGGTGACTTGCTGACATCTAACTTTCCTAAGTGATTTTTAACTTGTTCTTTGTGTATCCTATCTTCTAAACTTACCCTCTCTCTGCTTGTATTCACTACGTTAGGCACACCTCCAGACTTCTCGGTGAAGACCGAAACAAAGAAGTCATTGTCCATAATTAACTTTCTACTTCTGGGGCTCCACTGCTCTGGGGGGTGGATGCTGTTTGGGACTCTTTCAGTGCTGAGGATTGACTGCCTGCTAGCTAATAGATAATTGCTTGTCAGACAGCCTCTGGGTGCCCCATGGCCACTGTCCCAGCCACCCCAGGACTGCTGCTGCCCAGGCAGCCCCCATGACCACTGACCTGGTTCTCCCCAGAGCCAGTCACATTAACTGCTGTTTCGGCTGTCCAAGCCGCAGGCGGTGCAGCTGGCTCCAAGGTGGCCCTGAGATCACTGCTTTGGTGCTCACCAGGAATGCTTCTGGGGTGATCAGCATGACCAGCTGCACTGTCTGCTGCTTGTATTTTTTGGGATAGGAAAGAAATAATGGGAATTAGAGAACAGCCTTATAAAACTGAATTCTGTTGCACTGCAGCTCAAAGATTCTGTGGGCATTTGTTCCTTAAACCATATATTTACCTGAAAGAGAGGAGTCTGCTTTTCTGCACCTGATGCCTTGTCTATCCAGGAATCCAAGGGTTTCAGAGTGTTGGTGTTCTGAGTAACCACAGGAAACTTAGCTGCTAATGTAGGTCTGCTGGACACATGTAACTGTTGCTCCTGTTGCACTATCTGGAGTTTTTTCAGTAACTCTTGGGGTGAAATCACTCCAGAATTGATTGACTGGTTGCCAGAGAGGGAAAGTGGCTGATCAGGAACTTTGGACTGTTCTTTAACAACAGTCTGAGGCCCTAAACTTTGGGTTGGAAGAGAGCCATTGAAATAAACCAGACGTTGCTGGGTCATGTTATTTATCTGTGCTGCTGATACTGTAGCAGAAGTCCTGTTGAAAATTGAAGCTGCTGACCTTACAGGACCTGTTGCACTTGGGTCCATTTTGGTCATTGATCCAGACGGACCCTGCAGTTTCTGTAACAAACTTTGAGTGCCAGTTGTGTCCTGGTCTGGATGAGATGTTACAATACCATGAGAAGTCACAGATTGAAAGAGTCCAGTAAAAACCTCCCCCCCAGAGCGGATATTGCCGTTTTCACACAGTCGATTCTCAGGAAGCTCAGAGAGTGGGTGAAGGTCTGTCCCACGCACCATAAGTTTTTGAATAGCTGGGCAAAGATGCTTCTCTGCTGAAGGTGACTGTCTGCTAGGTTCCTCATATGACAGTGAACGCACCACCCTCTGCCTGGCAGGAAGATTAAGTTGGTGATTTTTCTGTGACTGTTCTGAAACATCTTGGTATGTGGTAGGATTTTCTTTTTTTCCAAACAGTGCTGTCAGAGATAAGTGGTGTGGTTCAGGGTCCATGTTCTGTGAAGAAAGAGAGAATAAATGAACATAGTTCTTGTGCATTTGCATTAACTGCCTAAAGTGCTACCTTGTAGGATCAAAGGAACAGCCAAGACAACTGACCTTCACTCCCTCCTCTTAAGAGAATTATTTAATGATTCTGCTACGTGGCAGAAAAATATATTTTTTTAAAACAGCCTTGAAACTTCTGGTCTGTGAGAAACAAGCCACCTCTAGAAAAAAGGTACTGATTTCACTTTCAATGGCCAGGGAGAAGGGTCTCTTCTTAGCCACTAATAAAATATTAGAAAAAGCTCAAAAAGGTTACAAAGGGGAGAAAGAAACCTTCTGTTCTCTTGGGAAGTAGTGTCACTTTCTGTCTCTATCCTTACAAAGGCCAACAGGATGTAGCTTGCTGGGTTTTTGCAGTGTTATGTATTTTTAAGTTACAAAAAAGGAATCCATCATGTATGCAAATGCATTTGTACAAATTAAATTAATACATGAATAAAATAAGCAGAGTCCCACAGGGTAGTTAGAGGAATCCATGACGTATGCACGTGGCCTGTGGCCACAACTTCCTGAATTGAGAGATCAATTGTTTTTGCTTGAATCAGCATGTTTGTTTTTAACCACTTCGTTTTACACAGGAAAACTATTTTTTGTAAAGAGATACTCATTTTGCATGTAGACTATTCATTATTTACCTTAATTCCACTCCAAATTCTTGTACTATTTGATCTACGCAAGCATTCTCCTGTGCCTGATATGCTATTGCAGCACTAATCAGCATGCAAATTAAAGTGTACCTTGCCTTGCTGAGGTATTTGTTGGTGCTGAGTTTCACTGGGCTTCACTGGTATTGGTTTGATCAGGTTGGGGTTGTCATAGATAGCAGAGGAACTAGTCATTTGTTTTGGCTCTGAACAGGTCTTACACTGCAACAAAAATAAAGCATATTGGAAAGAAATAAATTATTACTTTAAGGAATGTTCTTCCCCAATTTTGCATCATAAAATTCCAAACTGGTTAAATCTTCAAGATACTAGCAATTAGCCTGTCATAAGATGGGATTTTCAGGTCTCTCCTAGTTTCTCATCCACTGTAATCCGCAGGTCCTTTTCTGCAGAACTGCTACTTAGCCAGTTGGTCGCCAGCCTGTAACAATGCTTGGGATTCTTCCATCCCAAGTACAGGACTCTACACTTGTCCTTGTTGATCTAGCCAGTTTTCTATCCACCTTACAGTCCATTTATCCAATCCATTCTTCCTTAACTTGCTGGCAAGAATATTGTGGGAGACCATATCAAAAGCCTTGCTAAAATCAAGGTACATCACATCCACTGACTTCTCCATGTCCACAGAGACAGTTACGTCAATGCAGAAGCTAATCAGACTGGTCAGGCATGAGCTGCCCTTGGTGAATCCATGTTGACTATTCCTGATACCCTCTTCCAAGTGTTTCAAAATGGATTCCTTGAAGATCCCCTCCATGATTTTTCCGGGGACTGAGGTAAGGTTGACTGGTGAATGTTAGGAGAACTGATGAATGTTAGGAGAAAGCTTTCTTTATATCCAGGTCATTCTTTAATAATCCACTTTGGGCTTTTGCACCGTCCTCTCAGACATGAAACAGACTACTGGAATAGACGGATCATGGGTCTAATATAACATAGCAATCCCTATGAAATTACTAAAACTACTTAGACATTTGGTGAAACAATTGCCTATCATACTGACTCGGGTGGCAGGTTTGCAGAACCTCTTCCCCCACTCAAATTCTCTCCCCCAACACCTGCCTAAGGCTCTAAAAGAAAGTTTGGGCGGGGAGGGGTGTGGGCTCTGGGAGAAATTCTGGGAGCACAGAAGGGAGTGCAGGGTCCAGGCTGTGGAATGAAGTCTAGGTGCTGGTTTTGGCTGAGGGTAGGGAGTGTGGGACCTTGGAACAGACTGAGAAGTTTGGAGGCGGAGAGGGAGTTCGGGGTAGGATGCGGGGAAGAGGGGAGAGGGTGCAAGTTCTGCAGAGAGGGAGGTGCAAAAGGGGGTGTGGAAAGAAGGGGTTAGGGGTACCATGTTTACCTGTGGCACCCCCTCCCCCGACAGTGGTTGCTGGGGGAAGTAGAGGTCTTGGGGCACTGCTGCCTGCCTCCTTCCCCCAGTGATTTAAAATGCCCCAGGAACCCCAGCCACCACTGATCAGCAGCTTCCTGCTGCTTGCTGGCATGTGTGGCCATGAGGCCTGGGGCAACGGGGACAGGGGGATAGTGTTTCCAGGTGCACTCTGGCAGCTGGAGCAACATACAGCACAAACACCATCCCCTTTTCCCTTGGCCTCAGGGAAGCACCAACAGCTGTAGGGAGCAAGCAGCAGGAAGACACGCTAGCCCCACTGCACTGCCCCAGCAGTGGGGGCAGGGGCAGCAGGCAGGGCCAGGAGATGCACTTGGGGGAGTGCACAGGGCATGGCAGGCAGGGAAATTTGGTGGAGACTGGCCCCTGGGCCAGGACTATCCTGGGTGCCAGGGCGCCATGGGCCCATGTAACTTGCTGCCTCCATATAGTGACCCATGTCTCACTGTTTCATTGTATTCCTGTATGTGTCTAGAATCAGTGATTCTCAAACTATGGGTCAGGACTCCAAAGTGGGTTGCAACCGCATTAGATATGCTGGGGCCAAAGTTGAAGCCCGAGTCTCGCTGCTCGGGGCTGAAGCCTGAGGGCTTCACTTCTAGGTAGCAGGGTGCAGTTACAGGCCCCCCTGAATGGGATTGAAGCCTTTAGTTTTTGGCTCCCACCCTCAGGGCTAAGGCTTCCATACCCACTCCCAGGATTATATAGTAATTTTTGTTGTCTGAAGAGCATCATGGTGCAATGAAGTTTGAGAATTCCTGGCTCTCATCTTCTAATTACAATGTAAGCTCTTTTTGGGGGAGGAGGGCCAGGGGAAGGGACCATCTATTCATTCTGTGCCTAGCACTGTGGGGTCCTAGACATGGCAAAGGCTCCAGGATACTATGGTTACTATGATATTATTTCTGTGAAAGAAATGACTGGGTGGTTTTGGTAGCACACACAAACCTGGCAGGATTCAAAGAATTGATAATCCAGAATAGCTACCAAACAGTTAAAAATAACCTGAGAGCTATCCAAGGCAGTGTGGACTGAAAACTATCCAGCATATCCTTATCTAATACACCTATCACCATGAGAAAAATAACAAGAAAGAGAGGGATAAGTTGGTTTAATGACTGCATGAGGAGGCCAATGAAGAAGATCTTGAGGGCTATCAGAAGAGGCAGTGTATTTTATGTCCTGGTTTTACGGAATGCTGTGCTTGAGGGAACTTCCCTTACTGCCAACTACTTAAAAAAAAAAAAAAAGTTCAGTGTCTGTGTAGGCAGGCATTTAATTTCTAGAATGGTGCTTGGGGAAGGAAATGTCATAAAGAAGAATCAAAGTTCAATTCATACACCTGGAATCCAGCTGTTCTGCTTGAACCTGTGCCTCAGATGTTGGTTTCTGGAGGCACAAACACAGACCTACTAAAAGGACTGCTAGCAGCGAGGTGGAAAACATTAGTTCAGTTCTTGAATCTTCCTTCATGCTGTACCCATCTGGCATAAGGTTAGCAACTGCTTCAAGCAACAGGACTAGGAAACTATGACAACCAAAAAGTAAACTTTGCCCTGAAAGGAGAACTGCAAAGCAAAAATAGAACTTGAGTTAACTATAAAATGCTGCACGGAATGCCCTTTGGCTAGGATGGGTGGGCAACACTCAACACAAAGCTATATAAGCTAACCTGCTACAGTTTTCCCCCCTCAGTGTTAGAATACCCTAGAATGTGACCTCTTCAGTGAATTAGTGTATCTCAAATGCAGAAGTCTCATCAATCCATGTGCAGGTTGTGGCATTTGATGGCACATAATGGTGAACTTTAGGAGTTCTTCAAATGAGCTAGAAAATACCAAGAGAATTTCACAGAAGGCAAGAGAGACTGCTTAAAAAGTTAGACTGATTTTTGTGCTCGGTGTCTCAAGGTATGGTTAATAGGGGCAGAAGTCTAGGCTTAACTACAATTTCACTTTTGCTTTGCAGTTCCCTTTTAAAACCAGTTACATATCGATGTCTTAGAAAGACAAAATGAAAGCAATGATGTGAAGATTCAGGCTATATCTACACTGGCAGATGTAAAATGCTGGTAGTTACAGAACTGCTCACAGAGTGCTGCACAGAAACTGCTCGAGTCCACACTGTGCTCCTTGTGATGGTGAAGCATGTCCACATCAGCAGCTCTTGCAATGCCACAGAGTGCAGTGGATTGTCGTAGCTATCCCATTGTGCAACTGGCTGCAGGGTGCTTTGGGAAGGGTTTGCAATGCCACCTGGAGCAGTAAGCATCACATGAAGCAGGTTTCCCAATCCCATTGCTCCACAGTCATCTTGCTACAGAAGTAAGGGGGAAGAGGAGCATGTGACAGGGAACAGAGTATGTGCGGCAGGCGAGACATGGTGTGTTTTGGGGGATATCAGTATGCGGTCTTGTAAGTTCAGACAGTGGCAGGAAGCAACTCTTCAGGCAGGGGGTCTCTCTCTCTCTCTGTCTCTGTCTCTCTCTCTCATCAACTGCTAGAAGTGGGCCTTATCCTCCCTGACTGAATTGACCTAGTTATCTCTAGCCTTACTCTTGATTGGAACTCTCTTCTTATGCCTGTATATTTATCCCTGCCTCTGGAATTTCCACTACATGCATCTGACTAAGTGGGTCTTTGCCCACGAAAGCTTATGCTCCAATAAATCTGTTAATCTATAAGGGTATGCATACATTACCCCGCTAGTTCGAACTAGTGGGGTAAGGTATGCATACCGAACTTGCTAATGAAGCCCGGGAAATTCAAATCCCGGGCTTCATTAGCAAGTTCGGTATGCATACCTTACCCCGCTAGTTCGAACTAGTGGGGTAAGGTATGCATACCGAACTTGCTAATGAAGCCCGGGAAATTCAAATCCCGGGCTTCATTAGCAAGTTCGGTATGCATACCTTACCCCGCTAGTTCGAACTAGTGGGGTAGTGTAGACATACCCTAAAGTGCCACAGGCCTTCTCGGTGTTCTTGCAGATTCAGACTAACACGGCTACCCCTGTGATACTAATAACGTTAAAGTAGCCATATTAGGTTTTATGTTAAAAAAGTTTCCTTTGCATTATATCAACACTGAGTGGCATATGTCTGGTCTATTCACCAAGCTTTGTTAGGTTCCTCTGGAGTTCCTTTGCCTTTAAGTTTATGCATACAATGTCCACACAGGGAGTTACGGTACAGCACTTGGTGCGCACTACTATTCATACCCCTTTAGTCTGAGCTTGAGGGCACTGCAGAAATGCCCATAAGTCCTAAGTCACTTTAGCTCTTTAGAGAACTTTACCACTGGACTTGAATGAAAGAAAAGCTCTTAAATGCCCTGAAACCTGCTCATTTATCTTGTTTGTTCCTACTCTATGGCTCACAAAACTTCCATTACCCTCCTGAATCACAGAAAATGCAGAAGGACTAATAAGCAGACTTGGCAAGCTGACTTCAGCAAAGTGAATCTTCAGACAAACTGGCAAGAAAATATAACTGTAGTGAGGTGGCCAAAAATCAGTTGTGAAGTATATTGGCGTTTAATGCAGGGATGTCATTTGCTATGATGCAAAAGGAATAGCTGCCTTTTCTCCTCCCCCCTCTGACTTTTCTTTGGTTTATATATATATATATATATATATATATATATATATATATATATACACATACACACACACACACACACTATACTATCTCTCTCTCT